TGACCCTCTTCCCTCTCGTGCTCTCTATCTCTCATTCTCTCTCTCTCAAATAAATAAATAAAATCTTTAAAAAAAATTTAAAAAAATAAAAAAAAGAAAGAAAGAAAGATGGAAAGCGGGAGTGAAAGGCGAAGGGAAGAAGGGAGTTTGTGTTTCTTGAGTAGCTGCTAGCACCAGAGAGCCTGCTGGATGCCCAGCCACGATCTGCGATCACACCTCGTGACCATCATGTCATAAATGGGGAAACTGAGGCTCGGAGGGGAGAGTCAGATGCCTAAGGTCAAGCATTCACTAAGCTGCAGGGCCAGAACTGGAACGCAGGACTGTCTGAATCCAGAACCCAAGCACTGCTCAGAAATTCCACAGAAGCAATGTCTGCAACTGCCACATTTCTTCAAAGTCTTGTCATTTCATCATCATAAGTCTGGTGGCAACATTGTGCCCCCACCCCCGCCCCCGCCTCCAGAACTCATACAGTAAAGTCCTAACCCCCCAGGAACTCAGCATGTGACTGTATTTGGAGACAGGGCCTTTAGAGAGGTAATTCAATTATAATGAGGTCCTTAGGGTGGGCCCTAGCCCCACATAACTGGTGTCCTTAGAAGAAGAGGAGATTTACACAGAGTCCCAAGCAGAGGGAAGACAATGTGAAGACACATGAGAAGGTACCATATACAAGCCAGGGAGAGAGGCCTCAGAAGAAGCCAACCCGGTCAACACCTTGACCTCAGACTTTTAGCCCCCAGAACCTTGAGAAAATTAATTTCTGTGGTTTAACTCCCCCAGTCCGTAGCACTTTGTTACAGCAACCCTAGCGAACTAAAACAGTAAGTCTTAGGCGTGCTGCACCCGCCTGCATCCCAGATCTATGTTACTTTGGGCCTTTATCATTTTATGTAGTCGGTGCAATTCTCGAGGAGGCCGTCCGGGGCCGGGGCCCACCCTCCAGGGCCCAGCCTCACCCGCGCCAGGAGCAGCACATCGATGAAGTCCAAGGTCTTGCCCTGCTTGCCCTTCAGCCAGGCCTCAGCCCCCTGCTGGTGGAGTGCCCGCCGCCGCTCCTGGATGACCTCCGTGGTGAAGCGGTGCACGGTGTCACAAGCCTGCCGGAATCGCCGCCCGTCTGCCGTGAGGTAGTAGATGAAGTCTATGTGATGATGCAGACGATACTGGCGCTGGACCACCAGGGCACTCAGCTCAATGATGGCCGAGATGTAATCACTCATCTTCCTGTGGGGGAGGTGGGGCGGGGGGAGAAGAGACATGAGCTCGGGCCTGGCCCCTAAGACAAGCTTCTCCTCCCCATGCAGAAGTAACAGAGAGAGGCCCTGTACAGACTAGATTTTCTTATTTTCTTGTATTCTTTTTGCCCTGCCAGCCGAGGCCTTGCTAACTGGAGAGACACTGCCCCACCCAGAACCAGCCAGTTCTTAGAGATGGCCGATGATTCACCCAACAGCATGCCTTTTATATGAAAACCAAACAATCCAGAGCCCATACGCTGAAATTTATCAGGCGGAGCCTCTCTCTCCAGGCCTTAATCACCCCAGGGCCAGGTACTGGAGACAACTAGGGACAGCCCCTATCCTCCAGAGCCCTCTGAAGTTATTCAAACTAGCCAATCATAAGCCTGCACCCTGCCATACTGTTCCTTCTCACGGAAACCACAAAAAAAGACTCCTGCCACGCTTTCTCCTGACTGACACTGTGCTTCCCTGTGTGGCCCTCAGTGATGTGGCATGCCCCCTCCTCTTGAGGAACTGTAAGTAACAAACTATTTTTTAATGGCAATCATCTGATCTGTTGGCTTCATCATACCTGAATAAAACCAAAATCCAGGTACCTTTTAAAACAGGCCCAAAGGGGAACCCTCCCACACTGTTGGTGGGAATGCAAGCTGGAGCATCCACTCTGGAAAACATATGGAGGTTCCTCAAAAAGTTGAAAATAGAGCTACCCTATGACCCAGCAATTGCACTACTGGGTATTTACCCCAAGGATACAAATGTAGTGATCCGAAGGGGTATGTGCACCCTTATGTTTATAGCAGCAATGTCCACAATAGCCACACTATTCAAAGAACCGAGATGTCCATCGACAGATGAATGGATAAAGAAGATGTGGTATATATATACAATGGAATATTACGCAGCCATCAAAAAATGAAATCTTGCCATTTGCAATGATATGGATGGAACTAGAGGGTATTATGCTAAGCGAAATAAGGCAATCAGAGAAAGACAATTATCATATGATCTCACTGATATGAGGAATTTGAGAAACAAGACAGAGGGTCATAGGGGAAGGGAGGGAAAAATGAAACAAGACAAAACCAGAGAGGGAGAGAAACCATAAGAGACTCTTAATCTCAGGAAACAAACTGAGGGTTGCTGGAGTGGTGGGGGTGGGAGGGAAGGGTGGCTGGGTGATGGACATTGGGGAGGGTATGTGCTATGGTGAGCGATGTGAATTGTGTAAGACTGATGAATCACAGACCTGCACCCCTGAAACAAATAATACATAATATGTTAAATAAATAAATTAAATTAAATAAAACAGGCCCAAAGGATTAAGACTTCCAAATAGACATAACATCACTAAGACTAAATGCCTACAAGCCACAGAGTGGGAGAACTCCTATTCCTGATGGCAAACTTGTATCTAAAATATAGAAAGAGCTCTTAAAATGCAATAAGAGACAAATAACCAAATTTAAAAATGGGCGAAGCATACGAATAGACATTTCTCCAAAGAAGATATACAAATGGACAAACAGCGCATGAAAAGATACTTAACAGCACTAGTTGCTAGGGAAATGCAAATCAAAACCACAATGAGATGCCGCTTCACCCTAACTAGGCATGGCTAGAACCAAAAAGACAGATAATAGCAAGTGTTTAAAACAAAAATAACAAGTGTTGGTAAGGGTGTGGAGAAATTGGAGTCCTCACACACTGCTGGTAGAAATATAAAATGGCACATCTACTTTGGGAAAAATGTCTAGCAGTTCCTCAAAACCTAAACAAAGATTATCACATAACCCAGCAATTCCACTCCTAGGTACAGACTTAAAAAATCGAAAACATCTGTTCACACAAACACTCATACACCAATGTTTAAATAATAGCCAAAAAGTGGAAACAACCCAAATGTCCATCAGTAGATGAATGGATAAACAAAATGTGGTATTATATGGTAAATGGAATATTATTCAGCAACCTAAAAAATGAAATATTGACACAGGCCACAGCATGGATGAATCTTGAAAACATTTTGCTGAGTGAACAAAACCAGACACAGAAGTCTGATTCATTCCATCAGTATAAAATTTCAATAATAGACAAATCTATGGCAGCAGAAGGAATGTTCATGATTGCCTACACCAGGAGAAGTGGGAAGTGGGGGTGAGTGCTAAAATGTACAGGGCTTATCTTTGGTGAAAATATTTTAAAATTGATTATGATGATGGTTGCACAACTATGTGAATATACTAGAAACCATTGGATTGTGTATTTTAAATGGGTGAATCATATGGTATGTGAATTACATTTCAGTAAAACTGTTATTTAAAAAAACAAACGAAAGGGTGCCTGGGTGGCACAGTTGGTTAAGTATCTGACTCGGTTTTGGCTCAGGTCCTGCTCTCAGGGTCATGATAGCAAGCCCCACATCAGGTCCCACACTCAGTATGGAGTCTGCTTAAGATTCTCTTTCCCTCTTCCTCTGCCCCTCCATCCCCCTACCCCGTGCTTGCTCTCACACTCTCTCTCTTAAATAAATAAATAAATAAGTCTTTTTAAAAATGAAAAAAAAACAAAAAAACAAAATGAAATAATCTCTGGGACAGGTGTCCAAGGGGCTGTCCTTGGTCCTGAAGTATGCTTGTTTTCATACACTTGTCACAGTCTGTCATTTTCTTGTTTCTTTATTTGTGCATGGTTACTGCCTTTCTTCCCACCAACACGTAAATTCCAGAGGAGCAAGACCTTGTCTATTTTGTTGACCACCGTATTCATAGTGCCTAGTCCAAGAGTGGTGCATAGAAGGCACTCAGGAAATATTTCCCGATTAATTAAATAATCAATCACAAAGGCCATCTCCACCTTACCCAACTGAAGCATAACCCTACAAAGCCCAGAGTAACAAAGTCAGCAGCTTATTATTAATGACCTACTATGTGCTACAAACTTGCCATTTACGATGTCTCTTATTCGATATATACCCACTTAGACTATAAATTCCAAGGTACTGGAACTTAGTCTGTCGCTCACCACCATATTCCCAGTAGCTAGCATAGTATCAGACACATAGTAGGAACACAACAAATATCTGATGAATGAATGAATGAACCAGGACAATGGTCATCTTATTCATTCATTCAACAAATATTCATTGAGCATCTACTGTGTGCCAGGGCACTGTGGCATCATTTTATTCTTTTTTTTAAGCACAAAGTGTTATTTATTTAGAGCAGGAGCATGGGGGAGGGGCAGAGGGAGAGGGACAGAGAGAATCTCAAGCAGGCTCTGCAAGCACAGAGCCCAACATGGGGCTTGATCCCACAACCCCGTGTTCATGACTCAGGCAAAAATCAAGAGTCAGAAGCTTAACCGACCTAGCCACCCAAGTGCCCCGACATCATTTTATTCTTAAAACACCTCTCAGAGGGTTAAGGATTGTCATCCTGTTTTACAAAAAAGGACACTGAGGCTCAGAAAATGGGGAGACGCTTTCCAAAGGCCAAACTACTCTTCATGGAGCAATGAGGGAAACTAGCATTTATGAAGCACCTACTATATGCAAAACCATCAACTTACATTATCCCAATACTCACAAGATGGCTATGGGGAAGGAATTGGGATTCCATTTTTGGATAAGGAGATACGCTCAGAGAGGTGATGTCAGTTTTCAGAAACACACAGCCCGTCAGTGGCAGAGTACCAATAGCCCTGGGATGCCTAACACCTGAGAGTTTCCTTTCTTCTCCCACCACCTTGCCCTAAAGCAATGGGCTCTATCTTTCCCCAGGGAGGCCACACTCACTCCTGGCAGTTGCTGTTGTAGCTGAAGACACATTTCTGAAGACTGTCCAGGGTCATGAGGCTGACATGCTCAAACATGTCAAGGGAGACCACTGAGCCCTGTGCCAGGCGCCGCCATTTACCCTGGAAGAGAAAGAGACACACGGCAAATTGACGTGGAGACCGCAGACTTTAAGCCAGGCTGCCAATGACCTAGCTGCCTGCTTACTATAAGCCCACTTTATAGGGTAAAGGAAGTGAAGCTTCCTGACATCACCCGGCTTACCCATGAGTCGGAGCCTGGACCAGTCTCACTCCCAGAATACCCTCTTCCCAAGAAACCTTGTGACTCACATGCATGATGTCAGTGCACTGGTTGAAGATCTTCATGTAGGGCTTCAGGATGTCGAAGTGGAAGGCAGGTGTCAGCAGGCGGCGGTGGCGGCTCCATTTGTCACCTTTGCTCAGCAGCAGCCCATCTCCTGGGCCCAGAAGACTGAGATTAGGGGCCTCTCCTATTACTCTGAAACCCTACAAGAAACCCCACTCCTCTTCCCCAAAGCCCCAGCCCACTCACCCACTCCCACACTCACCTAGCCAAGGTTTCAGGAAACCATAGAAAAGGTCATCCTTGGGGGCAATGGCAGCTGTGGAGAGAGAAGAGTTGGTGAAGACTCAAAACAGAGTTCTGACCCTTGACCTCTGCTTATGACCTCCTTGGGCCTCCTCTCTGAGCTCCAACCTCCACCTCACCCCTCCAGTTCCTCCTCTATACCTGCCCCAGAAAGATCCTTATAACATGCTGATCTGAACATGAGCCTCCCCTGCTCAGATACCTCCCATGGCTCCCTATCACCCTGGTAAGAAAGTTCAAGCTCAGGCTAGCACTGAAGGCCCTGCCCCATCCTGCCCCTGTATGCCTCTCCCACCTCAACCATCAACACACACCAAACAACCCCACATGCTGGCCCTACTTCCAAACCTGTGCTCTCCATCCAGGATGGCCCTCTTCACCCTAATCACCCCTCTTTTTTGCCAACTCAGGCCATCTGAATTACACCTCCTGTGCTCGCCGTCTCCAGTCTGCCCTGCACTCTGGTCCCAGGAGGTCTTATCACATGCTAGATCTGACCATGCCCCTTCCTACTCATACTTATTAGCTGCAACCACCAGCTGCTCAGACCATTTTCAAAGCCTTGAATCATCTACCCCAGTCCAGACCTCTCTCAAAACATCTCCATCCTCCATTCTCTACATGCTCAATCTTCTAACATCACAGAATTTTCTCATCTCCTTGAAAAAGTCACATTCTCTGCTCCAGGTCTGTCTACCACATGCCCTCTCTGCCTCAAACACTCCCCCTCATCCTTCTCTGCTTGGATGCTAACCCTCCTCCACCAGTTACTCTAGACTGTATCCATCCAGTTACAGGCCCCTTGAGAGGAGGGACCACGTGATCACTGATAATGTGGTTTTTAGAGAGGGAGAGAGGAAGGAGGTCCAGAGGGAGAGGGAGAGACAATCTTTTTTTTAACGATTTTTGTATTTGAGAGAGAACGGGGGAGGAGCAGAGGAAGAGGGACAAGTGGACTCCACACTGAGCACAGAGCCCAACACAGGGCTTGATCCCACAACCCTGAGATCATGACCGGAGCTAAAGTCAAGAGTCAGACAATCAACAAACTGAGCCACCCAGGCGCCCTGGAAGAGGAATCTTAAGCAGGCTCCACGCCCAGCACAGAGCCCAACGTGGGGCTCGATCTCACAACCCTGAGATCATGACCTGAGCTGAAATCAAGAATCAAATGCTTAACCAACTGAGCCACCCAGGCACTCCTAGTGTTAAATAACTTTTTTACTGAATGAACCAACCAAAGGATGAATGAATGCAAAAATGGACGGATGGATAGATGGATGGGTGAGTGAGTGAATTCCCTTTCTATGTTGAGCAGACTTGGGACAGAATGGACAGGGGCCCAGAAAGGAAGTACCTGAAATTCAAGTGATGTCACTTTTATCTGAGATGTGACTCAGCCACCTACACACACAGTACCTAAGAATTGGCCAATCGTGCACACAGTCATCTGTCCACTCATCCTCCTATTCAGAACATCTCTTCTACCATCTTCCTTTACCCAACCCATGCTGGGCAATGCTGGGGACCAGAGATGGCTCAGCTCCACGCCCTGCCTGGAAGAGCTCCGGGTGGGGTGAGAAAGGGAAGCAGAGCCACGCCATGCAATTATCTACAAGATAGAAAGTATGCCAGAAGCAAAGGGAGGCACAGAAAAAGGGCTGCTGGAAGTCAAAGCAGGCTTCCAGGAAGAGGCAACATTGGAGAAGAAGGTGGAATTCTGGTCACTCCTTTACTCTCTGGGATCTGGACTCCAACCTAGGCCCTTTGAGGGTCTTTCTGATATACAGACCTGTTCAATGGCTGTCCTATTTAAACACCACCCATCATTCCTTAACGCCCCCAAGGTAAAACACAAGCTCATTTGCTTTGGACATAGGTGCTCTGAGTCTACCTCCTGTCTCATCGCCTACTCCTGCCCACACATCATCTTCCCTCCGGACACCCCAAGTCACCTGAATTCCCCTGGTACTTTCACACATCTGCACCTTTGTCCTGGTAGAACCCTCCACCTGAGACTTCTCATCTGGCAAACTCCAAACATCCTTCAAAGGACCAGCTTCACTAACACCCCCTCCAGGAAGTCTCCCCAGCTGAACCCTTGTTCTCCCATCCTCGGGTCCTTACTCCACTTCAACTCTGACCACTTGATTCCAGGAGGGTCTGTGTCCAGGCTGCCTTTCCCATTTTACTGAAGTGTCCCCTTCAGTAAAAAGGGGATGGTAACATCTACACTGGATGAGGTCATATAAGAAAAGGCCCCACCCAGTGCCCAGCAGGAAAGTCCATATCACTGTGGTTGAGAGCCTGGCCTCTGGGCAGGCCAGGCCCAGGTTCAAATCCCAGCCCTACCACTAACTCCATGTGTAAACTTGGGCACGTTAGCCCTCTGTCCCTCCACTTCCTCATCTGCCACAGGAGAAACAGAACAACCCTGCCTCCCTTGTACCATCCCTACAAAAACTCAAAGAGCTAATATGTTCCTGGCACGTGGCAGGTGCTCATTAAATATTTGTACACACATATGAATAATTAACCAACTGCTGGCTGTTTTTATAACTATGACTATAATTATTGGTCACTGGTGTCAAGAACTTGTGAGACGAATATCTGCGTCTCCAGCCCCCAGCAAGCCCCTACTAGTGAAAAATAAATGCCTAGCCATTGTGGAAAGCAGTTTGGTGGTTCCTTAAAAAGTTAAAGGTAGAATTCCCATATGGCCCTGCATTTCTACTCCTTGGTGTCTACCCAGGAGAAATGAAAACATACATGCATGTTCACAGCATCATTTGTAATAGCCCAAAGGTAGAAACAACCCAAATAACTGTCAGTGGAGGAGTGGATAAACAAATGTGGTGTATCCATATATCCAGACAATGGAATATTACTCAGCCTTAAAAAGGAATAAAGCCCTGGTCATCGCTACTCTGTGGATGAACCTCGGAAACATTTTGCTGAGTGAAAGAAGTCAGTCGCAAAAGACCACATTGTATATAATTCCTTTCCTGTGATATATCCAGAACAGGCTAAGCCATAGAGATAGAAAGGAGATTGGGGGGATGTACCAGGAGTCGGGGAGAAGTAAGAGGAGTCAGGAGAGAATGAGAAGAAGGGGAAAGAAAAACAGGACATGAAAAAGGCGGGAGAGAACAAATCCTCATGAGCACCTACCCACATCATCTGGAGCCTTCACAACCACCCCATTTTCCAGAGCAGAAACTGAGGCCCTGTGAGGCTAGATGAATTTCTTGGTCACACAGCAAGTATGGCTCCAGACAGGATCAGAGCCCAGCCTGCCTAAGTCCTAGCCCAGGGCTCTTCCCACAACTTGGTGCCCATCCCTTGGAAAAGTCACCTTTCCCAGGGTCTAGGTTCCCCGTTTGTGCAGTGGGGTGGGCATCCCCTCACACATGCAGTAATGGTGGGGAGGGCATAGCTGGGAAGGGAAGAATGGCAGCCCTTCCTCTTTCGTGGCTCCAGGGTGGCAGCCTTGATGATGGTCTCTAGATATGGGTTTGCAGAGGCCCAAGCTGGGGCCAGAGATCTAAAAATCCCTGGAGCTCTTTCATTCCTCCCTCCTCTCTCAAATGCCCCTGATGCCTCTGGAGGTGCCCAGTTACATGCAAGGCCACACTGCAGATCCAGACTCCTATGAGGGGGCAGGGCTGGATGCAGACACACTCAGCCTTAGAGGGTTAGGACTGAGAATGGAAAAGCCCAGAGGAGAAAGCCATGATCTGTCTGGAGGGTCACCCCCAGGTCTTCCTGGAGAAGGGGTCATTGCATCTGGGTGTTGAAGGTTGAACAAGAGCTTGCCAAGCACACCTGGGAGTCCTACACCTTGGGAGAGGTGTGGACTGCAGAAGGGAGAAGCAATCCTACCGCAGCTCTTCTTCCACCAACCAGGGGCAGCCCAGGTGAAGCTGGAAGAGCCGCAGCGGGAACGTCAGAAGGCAAATGATGGGCTGCCATGGCTTAGAATTAAGCAGCAACCACTTAACAAAATCCTGGGCCAACAACTGCCTATCCAAACATGTTTGGATCTGACTTCCAGATGGGTAGACATCCTCTCAGATTTCCCAGGACTCTTAGATATTGTCCACCTTTTCCCATGCTATTCCCACTACCTGTATTACTGTGGCTGCTTTGGTGAACTCCTATTCATCCTCCAAACCCCTACTCAAATGGCCCTTCCCCTGGATAGCCTACGTGCCTAGAAGCTCAAGTGAGCTCTGGGAGTCAAGGGGTTACCCATCACTCAAAGGCCCAGCCCACATACCTGAGGCACCCACTAGGGGCTTGATGTAGTCAGGGTGCACCAAAACCAACAGCGGCAGGACGGGTCCAATCCACACCAAAATCACATGGTGCATGTTGTCCAGCACCTTCTTCTCATCTTGGAGGCCCGTCTCATTTGGAAGATACTGCAGGAGGTGGTAGGGAAAAATAGCCCCACCCTCTCCAGCCTTTCCCTCCCACCACCTCCCCTGTCCTCCAAACGAGCTCAGAAGAGCTGTAGGATTGGCCTTAGGAGGGCTGCACCTTGGTGAGCCTCCGTTCCCTCATCTGAGAAGTGGGGAAGAATCGACTCTCTGCTTGAGGGTGGTTGAGGAAATTCATGAATGAACAAAACAAGAGAGCCCGGCACACGGACCTGACACATAGCTGGTGTTTAAGAAATAAAAAAACGGTAAAAGTGAGCACAATCATGATTAGCATTTATTGAGTACTTGCTCTGTCCGGAATAAACTACTACTAGTATTGTCACTTTTAACACGTACATGGGCTTGCAGTGTTAGGCACTGCTGTGGGCATTTTTCATACACTCATACCTTCAACCCACACAACTATTCTGTGACATCGTTGCTACTATTTTTCCATTTTACTTTGCTCAGAAAGGTCAAATGACTTGTCTGAAGTTACAGGTGAATAAGTGATTGTCTTGGTTTGGGCTTCCCCAGAAGCAGGTCTTGAGACAAGGGTTCTAGGGCAAGTGGTTCATTTGAAGGTGGATCCCCAAACACATGGGCAGGGGACTAAGGAAAGTGAGACAGGGAGGGAAGGCAGCCAGCAAAGGGGGAGCTGCCAAGGGTGTTATGGCCACGGGCAACTCAGTGCTGTCTTCCTGGAGACCTCTGGGGAACCCGCGTATCAAAGTCAACCCAGCAAAGGAAGAGTGAGCTAAGGTGTTTATACATCAACTCCTACAGTCCCATAGTCACTGGCTGAAGCTCTGAAGCTCACAATGCACAGTGTCAGAGAAAGCCCTAGAATTCGGGTGCTGGCAGCTGGAGGTCAGGCCATCACATCCAGAAATGGGCAAAAGGATCCGGGCAGACACTGGAGTCATCTGCCACAGTGGCAAAGTCAGGATTTGAACACAGGCCACCCAGCTCCAAAATGCTAGCTCTTAACAAACACAAGGCAGAAGTACTTCAGGATCGGAGTTCAAATCTGTTCTCAGCAGCTGTGTGACCTTGAGCAAGTCTCTTAACCTCTCTGAGCTCCAAAGATCAAATCCATAATATTGGGAAGATCCATCCCTGTTCCACAGCCTGTGAGCATTAAGGGAGAGCTCAGATATTAAGGGACCTAACCCCTTGCCTGGCCAATTGCAAGGCCCAGCAACTGCCAATCAAATGAATAAATGAATGAGTGAACAAGCCAATAAATGACTTCTCTCTGGCTCCTGTCTCCTTCTTAATCAGGTTCAGCCCTGAGCCTGTCCACACCCAAGGGAAACCATGGCCTCACCCAGCACGCACAGCCCCAGGAGGCAGGCTGGGCCCACGGGGTCAAGGTTGGACTTCAGAACCGGCCCTGGCCAACTGTCTGGGACACCAGAGCCTGGCTACTACCTCTAGAACCACCAGTAAAGCCAGATGGCTTCTCAGAGTAAGAGTACTGGATATGGGGAATGACAAATGAGTAGAAGTTCATCTAACTGAGAAGGATATTCAGGGCAGGGGGCACAATTCCAGCAAAGGACATGGGGGTGGGAAGTCAGAGCCTGGTTATAAGAATAGGAAGTCATTCTGCAGGACTAGACATGAGTAGGGCGGGAGTTAGAGTCTAAAGGGGCTTGAAAACTACCTGAGGAGCTGAGACTTTCTCCAGACAGCAGTGGGGAGCCATGGAGGGTGTGTGAGTAGAGGAGGGACGTGGTTGGTTTCAAGAATCCTCCTGGGGCCAGGATGGGGGATGGACTGGAGGCAGGAGCCCAGGGACGAGGCTGGACCATGGTCCAGCAAGAGAGGATGAGGCCCGAGCAGGGGTGGGAGGTGAAAGGGAGGGAGGAGATTCAGGCACAAACGGGCAAAACTTAGTGAATGCCGGCCCCAGGGGAGTCATTCCTAAAGCCACATAAAATGTTCTTTGAGCTATTGAGTGGAAATGTGTCTCCTGCTTCCTTCTTCTGGGACGCTCACTCCAAGTAGAATCCAAAATATTTCTAGAATCCCCTCATACTTCCAGGCTCTGCAGGACCCAGGAGTTGAGCACATCCACCACTGCATGGCAGGCTCAGTGCCAGGCATGCCACAGACATGACTTTAAGAGCTGTCAATACAATCTCACGAGGTTCTTAGGAACAATCATAATCCCCACACTGCAGATGGGGAAACTGAGGCACGGGTAGGTGAAGTCATTTGCTCAAGGTCACATGGCAGGAGAGGGTAGAGATGGGCATCAGGCACACACTGATGACCACTGCCCTTGAACTGCCTCTCCGAAGTCCACGTCTGCACTCGGCATGAGGCCTGAACCAGGAAGGTCTCCACAACTGTCCCTCAGTTTCCTTTAGGCCTGCAAGGGGGACCAGATGAGTGCCACAGGCAGTTAGGAGCTGGACTGTAGAACCCTAAAAGCCTCAGTGCCCTCAGGAGTCTGGCTTTCTTCTGACCTCTGAAACTCTTTTTGAAAAAGTGCAGGTTTTGTCATCCAGAAACAAGAGGCAGCAGAGGATACAGAGCTAAGAGCAGGGACTCTGGAGCCAGATGGCCTGGGTTTGAACCCCAACGGTGCCACCGGCAAGCTGTGTGACCTAGGGCCAGCCACTTAACCTCTCTGTGCCATAATAGTCTCAGGAGCAAAATGGGGGGTAGTCATGGGAACTACCTCCTAGGATTGTCAAGAGGACTGAGTTAATATTTTAAAGCACCTGATCTAATGCTTAGCACCTGTATGTGAAGTAAGAAATGAAAGACAAGGCATGAGAATGAGAGAGAGGGTGCAAACACAGTGGGGGTGGGGCAGAGCAACAACATCGACAGGAGTCCCCCACCCCCACCCCACCCGGGGGTCACAAAACCTGACAACTTTCACAGGCACTGGCACCTGTTGCTTCGGCCAACAGCCTGAAATTACAGAGAAAACCTTAGAGTCAGCTCTGCCTCATCCCAGCTGTGTGACCTCAGGTCAACTGCTTGCCCTCTCTGAGCCTCAGTCACACCCTTATCCTGTAAAACGGGTCTGTTCATGGCTCCAACCGGATTCCTGGGGGATGGCGGAAGCAGTCAGGACCATCATCCTTACTGAATACCCGGGACCTGCCCAGCCACACACGCACCATGCCGAGGTGGCCCAGCAGCCAGCTGCGCCGGGGTGGCTGGGGGAAGCAGCTCAGGCGGCGGCAGGTGACGTAGAAGCGCCAGCAGAGCCTCAGGAACTGCATCAGCAGGCGGCAGAGGAAGAAGAGCAGGGACAGCAGGAGCCCAGACACGGCATACAGGCGGAACGAGGTCTTCTCCACTCCCAGGAGGTGCAGCAGGTGTTCTGTGATGGGCAGCATCCTGGGGGGACACACGGGATGGGGGGGTCAGTGCACATAGGAACCACCCTCTGGCCATGTGTGCACCAGACACGGGATGACCTGTGGAGTCAAGCAGCGTGCACCTGGCACACCGTAGGTGCTCAATACACAGGAGTCCCGGACCCCAAGGAAATCCCTCAACCTTTCCCCCAGCAGTGACCTGCAGCTGGCTGGCCAGATGGATGCACCAGTGCCCTGTCCACATGCCCTCAGCCTTGACTTTGCAGGGCATCCCTCCTGACTTCTCTGCCCATGAACGGATGGCCAGAGTGTTGGAAAATTTAAACACACACACACATTGAAAGCAGCTCTTAACCAATGACTGAGAAATATTGCTGGATAGGTACCTTCTCCCCTGGGGTGCCATGCCCCTGAGATGTGGGTTCCACACGCGCCACCAGGCTTCCCCAGTGGGATTAAACTCCAGCTGCCTACCGTCGAAACTTTCTCTATTAGCTCCCTCCCTTCCCCTGTCTCCCCTCTTTTTCTTCTTTATTTAACTGAGGTGAGATTCACCCAACATAAAACGAACCATTTGAAAGTACAGTTGACCCTTGAACAATGAAGGAGTTAGAGGTGCCAACACCCCCATGCAGTCAGAATTCCATATATAAGTTTTGACTCCCCAAAATCTTAACTACTAATAGCCTACTATTGACTGGAAAGCCTTACTGATAACATAAAGTCAATTAACAAATACTTTGTATGTTATATGTATTATATACTGCATTCTTACAGCAAAGTCAGCTGGAGAAAAGAAAATATTGAAAAAATCATAAGAAAGAGAAAATCCATTTACGGGGCTGCACTGTAAAAATTCTGCATATAAGTGGACCCATGCAGTTCGAATCCATGTTGTTCAAAGGTCAACTATGTACAATTCAGTAGCGTCTAGCACATCCACAGTGTCGTACCACCACCACCTCCATGTAGCCCTAAATTTTTTCCTCGCCCCGAAAGGAAATCCCATCCCAACTAGCAGTCATTCCCCATTCCCCTATACCTTCAACCCCTGGCAACTGCTAATTTGCTTGCTTGCTTGCTTGCTTGCTTTCTCTCTCTTTCTTGCAAGTAGGCTCCATGCCCAGCTCAGAGCCCAATGTGGGGCTTGAACTCACGACTCTGAGGTCAAGACCTGAGCTGAGACCAGAGTCAGATGCTTAACCGACTGAGCCACCCAGGTGCCCCTAATCTGCTTTCTGCTTCTATGGATATTTTATTTCATATCAATGTGATCATATATTATATGACCTTTTGTGTCTGGCTTCTTTCACCCAGCATGACGTGTTCAAGGTTCATCCTCGTCATAGTGTGTATCAGAACTTCATTTCTTGCACTCCTGGGTAATATTCCATTGTAAGGATATATCACAATTTGTTTATGCATTCATCTGTTAATGAACATCTGAGCTGCTCCCACCTCTGCCTATTGTGAAATGTGCAGCTATGAACATGCATGTACAGGTACATGTTAGAGTCCCTGTTTTCAATTCTTTGGGGTTCACTTTCTTTTTCCTTACTGGTATGTTCTGTGATCACTTCCCAAATAAGCTTCTTGCACTCAAATCCTTGCCCAGGGGTCAGCTCTTGAAGGAACCCAAATCAAGTGGGTAGGTAACAACAACATTAATAACACAGTGACCAGGTATGGAGCATTACAATGTGCCGTGAGCCACACTCAGGGATGGGCATGCCTCATTTTATGGAATCTTCAAGTGGTCCTTGGACTTAGGTCTTACATTCTCTCCATTTTCTGGACAACTGAATCTCAGTTCCTCTAACTCCAGGGAGATGGGAGCTGGCAGAGACCCCCTGAACGCCACCAGTGGCCAAACTCCATCACTCTGGGGGCTCACAGATCTCAGACGATGCGAAGGAGACTCCTGAAAATGGATGGGTCCTGTCTTCATGTCACCTTTCCAACTCAGTCCAACCCGCCAGTGGTTCCCTCTGTGCCCCACCTCCTGGGACAACATAGCTAAATGAACCCCGCCCTCCAGGTCCTCGCCTGAGTCCCCAGTCCCCACCCACCCCTGCCCACAGTTCCCTCCATTAGGGTCTCAGACTCACTGGCTCCCAATGCCCAACTACATCCTCCATACCGAAGATGTGAAGTTTCTATGGGTTACCACATCCTGGGAAAACAGCTGGGTGGCTTATCACCAAATTTGGAGAGCCCCATTGGGATGGTCTGACTTACATTATAAGTCATGCAGATGACAAGACCACTCATTAAGATGGCTCCTTATCATGAAAGGAAATAACAAGAGTTGGCAAGCATGCAGAGAAATCTTGAACCCTTATGCGTTGCTCATGGGAATGTAAAATGGTGCCACTTTGCTGTGGAAAACAGTATGGTGGTTCCTCAAAATATTAAACACAGAATCACAATATGATCCAGCAATCCCACTTCTGGGTAGAGCCCCAAAAGATGTGAAAGCAGGGACCCAAACAGATATTTGCGCACCCATGTTCATAGCAGCATTAATCACAATAGCCAAAAGGTGGAAACAGGCCAAGTGCCCATCAGCGGAAGAACAGAGAAACATAATGTGGTCCATCCATAGAGGGGAATATAATTCAGCCCTAAAACGGAAATTCTGACACCTGGTACAACATGGATGAACCTCGAGGACATTATGTTAAGTGAAAAAAGAGACACAAAAAACCAATGCTATGTGAGCCCACTTATAAGAGGTCCCTAGAGGAGTCAGGTTCAGAAACAGGAAGTAGATGGTGGGCACGAGGGGCTGGGGGAAGGGGGACAGGGTGGGGGAGTTAGTGTTTAACAGGGACAGAGTTTTAATTGAAGAAGATGAAAAAGTTCTGGAGATGGATGGTGGTGACGGCTGCACAACAGTGTGAATGTACTTAGTACCACTGAACTGGACACCTAAAATGGTTAAGATGATAAATGTTATGTGTATTTTACCACAATTAAAAATCTTTTTTCAAATTTTTTTAAAGATTTATTTATTTATTTGGGGGGGAGGGGCACAGGAAGAGTGGGGAGAGAATCCCAAGCAGACTCTGCCCTGAGCGTGGAGCCCAATGCGGCGCCTGATCCCATAACCCTGAGATCATGACCTGAACCAACACCAAGAGTTGGACGCTTAACTGACTGAGCCACCCAGGCACCCCAAAAAATCTTTTTACAAAGACAGACTGCCTGGTGTAGATGATATGCCCTCTGGAAGGCCCGGTTAGGGGTCGGGGTGGGGAGCAAAAAACCTCCCAAAATGAAGCACAGAGAGCTCCAAGTCACAAGTCCCAGGCAGAAGGTTCCAGGCAGATCCAGGTGACATGCTCACCAGGGAGTAGCTGTGGATATTTGTTTCTTTACCAATTTAATAGTGGGTAGTGATTCTCCCCCAGCAATGCCAGGGAAGGCAGCTAGTGATTATGATTCAGAATTGTGACCTTCCTCTAAATACTCTCATATGCCAGGCCTCTTACCAAGTGTTCTACTTGCATTTCTTCGTCATTCAGTTGGCAAATCGTGTTTGAACCCCTCCTACGTGTGTGACTCTGTTCTGGGCATGGGGATGTAATGGCGAGCAGGACACACATGGTCCCAGCCCTTAAGACAGGTGGCCACCAAGAGACATGATAGAACACTATGTAAACACTACCTGTCTTGATGGAGATAAAGCAGAGATGGGGGAGGCTGAAAATGGGCCCCCCCAAAGATATCAGTTCTCTGGAACCTGAGAATGAGACCTTCTACGGCAAAGTCTTTGCAGATGGGACTAAGTTAAGGGTCTAGAGTAGCCTGGGTTGTCTAGGTTGGTCCCAGCTGGAATCTCAGTTGTCCTTATAAGGGAGAGGCAGAGGGATGGGGGCACCTGAGTGGCTCAGTTGGTTAAGCATCCAACTCTTGATTTTCGCTCAGGTCCTGATCTCATGGTCAGACTCTGCTCCAAGCAGAAAGAGCACACACTCTAGATCCCCAAATGGTTGTCACCCTGACAGCCTCCATCTTCTCATCTACAAAATGGTAACAAGAGCAAGAATCCATCTGATGCTCATGGGAGGAGCTCAATAAGTTGGGGACATTAAGTCCTCAACTTTCGGTAGCTGGGTTCCTCTTGCCCCTCTCCAAACAAGAGCATTCTTGCCAAGCCCCCCAAAAAAAGTGTTACAAAAAGTTTTGAGGTGGTGCAGCTGCTTTGAGAAATGGGTTGGCAGTTCCTCAAGAAGTTAAACATAGAATTGGCAGTTCCAAGGGGTGCCTGGGTGGCTCAGTCGGTTAAGCATCTGCTTTCAGCTCAGGTCGTGATGTTGGGGTGCTGGGATCGAGCCCCATATTGGGCTCCCTGCTCATGGGGAGTCTACTTCTCCTTCTCCCTCTGCCCCTCCACCCCTGTTGGTGCTCTCTCTCTCTCAAATACATAAAACTTTAAAAAAAAAAAGAATTGGCAGTTCCTCTCCTAGGTATATAGTCAAAAGAATGGAAAACGTACTCTGATACTTATATATGAATATGAATAGCTGCACTACTCAGAATAGCCAAAAGGTGGAAACAATCCAGAGGTCCATCAACAAATGAATGGATGAGTATCATGTGGTATATTTGTGCAATGGAATATTACTCGGCCATGAAAAGGAATGAGGTCCTGATATATGATACAACATAAATGAACCCCAAAAACATTATGCTGAGTGAAAGAAGCCAGATACAAAAGGCTTATAGTGTCTGATCCCATGTATATGAAATGTCCAGAACAGGCAAATCCAGAGAGACAGCAAGCAGACTGGTGGTTGCCAGGGGTTGGCAGGGGGTAAGGGAGTGACTGCTACCAGGGACAGGATCTACTTTTGGGGAGAGGAAAATGTTTTGGAGCTAGATAGAGGTGATGGTTGCACAACACTATGAATGTGCTAAATGCCACTGAATTGTTCATTTTTAAATAATTATTTTAGGGGCGCCTGGGTGGCTCAGTCATTAAGCGTCTGCCTTCAGCTCAGGTCATGATCCCA